ATATATATATATATATATATATATATATATATATATATATATATATGAATCAAGCGGCTATAAATATATGTGGCACGGAATGTGGTCGAGTAGGTTCCATGGCTGCTGCTTAGAGTGTTTGCTCTGTTTTGTTCTGGGTAGAGTACTTTGTAGATTTGTTACATGCATTTGAGTATAATGTAGTTTAATCTGAGGCTTCTTTATTGGTTTTTGGGTTAGGTGATCTGTCTAGAGTGGGGAATCAGAATTATTTTATTATGACCTATTTGACCTTTTTGTCGATGTTTGTTTAATGAAATTGGGAGGCTCAACATTTGGTTCATATATATTTACCATTTTATCTTCTTGATGAGTTGTTCCCATTGTTAATATGTTGTGACTTCACATCTCTTCTGGCTTTTCTGGCTTTGGTGTCTACCTTTTCAGACATCAGAATAGCTGAGCCAATTTGTTTTGCACTTCTGTTTGCTTGATAGATGTTTTCCAACATGGGACTCACAGGATATGTATCAGTAACGTGCATCTTGGAGGCAACAGAAAGGAAACCCTTCTTAGTTTATATAGTGTTTTTAAACTGTAGCTTTTACAAATGCTTAGGATTTATGTCTTTCTGATTATTCTATCATCTGTTCTTGCGTGCTATCTTTTTCTAGCGTATGAATCATGGTGCTTTAAATCTGGTCTATTCATTCTAGCATCCTTGCTGTTAAAATTCTGCTACTTGTTAAACATTTTCACACCAAACTACTCCAGTGTTTTGAAGGGTCTTTTGTTTTTGTTTTTTTGTTGTTGTTGTTGTATTTCCTCCTTGAATGAGATAAGTTTGCTGGGTACTTCTCTTCCCCAAGAATGTCAGGCTGTAATAGAGTCAGCAAGGGTTCTGTTCAGGTAGTTTCTTCTGGAGAACAGAATGTTCTTATGTAACTACCTTTTCTTTCCCTCTACGAAAGCTTGCTTCATTTATTCATTTATATTTATCTATGTAATAAGCATTGTGAAATGCTGGTAGATTTTCTGGATGTGAAACTCACAGAAGAGTTGTCCTAACACTCTTCCCCTGAGCATCTTTTAGGTGTATTCAAACTGAGGCTGCAATCATGCATCAGTCAGTTGGGTTTGCCCAGTGGCACTGACTGGGGTGGAGCTTCTAAGGCTTAGGGATTTCTTTAGTCAGTTGTGAACCTTTGCATTTACTTGTTTCTCAGAATTTGCCTTGAGACCCTATTTGTTGTTGATTTTTTTCAGTTTGATTAATTTTTTTTTTAATTTAGGGTAGAGAAATGACTTCTGAACTCATTAGATGAACAACCAGAAACAGAAAATGTGTCCATTTATATTTTATTGTTTGTAAAATTATTTAGTCCCCCACATTGATTTTGTTTCATCACCTGATGCTACCTAAAATAATTGATCACCTAGTTATCAATCTGTGTAAGTCTAACTGTGTTCTGCCCTGCTGTCTCAATTTCACCTCACTGCTTTTTTAACACTAATGTTAGCCATGGATGCATTCACCCATCCCTCTTTATGTGGTTGCTCAACCCTGAAGATCACCCTCTTTAAAGTGAAGAGTAGGAGCAGAGAATTTGTTTATGTCATCTGCTAGACTAAAACCAGCTTGGCCAAATACTGCTTTACTCCCTCTCAGTTCTGAGTGAGCATATCTTGAAAAGAACTTTCTTTGAGTTTTCTTCAGTTTCTACTTGGCCTTGTTTTCAGGCCTCTTGTACAGTTCTGTTCATCATATCAAGTATAATTTGGAAATTCCATTAATGTCTATCTCATTTTTTTTTGTTCACCTTAATTATTCTGGAAATAACCAATAATTCCCATGTGTACCATCATTTCCTTCTCAATGGGATTTCTTTCTATTTTCATTACTATATTTTTCAAGAATAATGATAATAACTAACATGTTTTCAGTGCTTATTGAGTATGTCTAGAAAATAGAAGAGTTTTGTTTTCATAGGAAATTTGTGAAATGACTATTATTTCCTTTTTTTGAGAGATCATGAAGCTAATAGAACATTTGTCTATGGTCAATTGATATTTCAAACCCAGACACTACAAGGCTAGGTACTCTCTCTCTCTCTTTACTCTCTCTCTCTCTCCTTTCTCTCTCTCTGTCTCCAAATTCAGTACAGTATTTTTATTCCTCAAGAATTTCATACATGTATTCACACTTCTGAGCATTCCTCCCAGGCCCACCCCTCCTCACCTCACAACTTCATCTCTCTGGTTTTTATTTTAAATGCGTGGCCATATCATGTTCCATTTGTACAGCCCACACAGTCAGTCTTGTGTGGAGCCACCCACCGGCGCATGGTCAACCAACCAGGAAGGCCAGACTCTTTACTATGGATTATACATTTTCTCAAAGTGCCTTCTTGTACTAAAATGTACTTTTAAATCTGAATAAAGGGTATGCTACAAAATTTGCAGGTTTCATAGTTGATAGAGATCTAAAGTGTTGCAATGGAGGCTTTATAGTTGTTTGATAAACGTATTTGTTTGGCTTTCTGGCCATTTTCCAATTTTTTTTAATCTCCTAGTATCCACTGATTTCATATAAAACATTCACTTACTCCCAGTTAGCTTGTAGAGGTGCACTCTGTGCCTAAACGGTCTCCCTCAAGCAAATTTCTAGCTGCCCATTCTCTTATTTTGCTCGTGAAATGCAGTGGTGACGCCGGTACAGTACGGGCAGCGATTGTCTGAACAGTTCCTAGTTGTCCACCTTGTTTACCCTTGTGCTTCCTCAAAGCTTCTGTGGGTTCTGGACTTCAGGAGCGAGACAGAGTTTATGTCTGAATCTCATGTGATATATTTATGTTCCTCTGAGTTCAGATATTTTAGTTTTATTATCTATATTCCCCCTCCTATGTCTTTATGGAAAGTTTTTAGTCTATGAAAGTGTAAGAGTTTGTAATTTTTAAGGAAACTGTTATGGCTACTTGCTGGTTCTTTGTTCTGGTGAGAGAGCAGCAGCAATGTTGAAACAGTGCTCCTCCTCCTACTGAATGGCCGTGCAAGCCCAAGAGTGCCGCACAGTTCTATGTAAGTCTTGAGCATGTAGTATCCCGATAACAGAGCAGCTAAATCCTCATTTAGATAGAGAGAGGAGAGCATTGCACCCACGGGCAATTGACTTTTTATTAATGAGCTGTTAGACAGTTAGGGGCACTTCAGCAACTGCTCGAGTGTGGCACCGTGCTGAAGCCTGGTAAATAACCTTGTTGTGCCGGCTTGTGTTTGGTTGTCAGGGTGCCCATTCCGTCACAGTGATGCAGAGCTGCTGAAGCAGAAGATGCAGTCCTACAAGATCCCAGCCTCGGGGATCAGCCAGGTAGGTCCAGGTCTGCTCAGGGTCCTCAGTGACTCGGCAGCAGCCACATTCTCTCAGATTTGCTTACAGAAGTGATGCCGTGTGCTGCATCAGGACTCACACCACACTTCTATCTTCGGGGGGAGCTGAGCCCCAACCCTGCCCTTTCAGGTTCCTAGTCCTCAGAAATTTCAGTTTTTCCACCTGCCATGCTACAGTTGTATTTCTCTTGCTACTGAAGGAGCATAGGCGTCCCACCCCCACAACTTGCTTTTCTCCATCAGTTGGCGGCCTCATTTAAAAACACAAATATTTAACCTGTTGAGGTTTATTAATGAAGCTGAAAATTCATGACAGCCTCTCATTTTGGGAAGTTGCTTTCTGAGGAAATGATGATGTCCTGTGCAGTCCATGCCTGTTCTGGTAGGCATCAGTTGTCGCTTGGTTTAATCTGTATGTCTTATGCTAGCTTATTGGGGCTAATAATTTTTTGAAATACTTTGTTTTGTTAAGAACTTAAGCAAAAAGTGCACAAATGGTAAACAAAATACTTGAGGGAGCACATCTTTTAGTAAGTCTGTCTTTCAAAAAGTACCATGATGTTTAGGACTGTTGTCTACCGTGCGGTCTGGCTTGCCTGGAAATTAGCAACAGCTGAAGGTGCCTCTCTTTCCTGGCCCCAGAAGCAGCCCTGAGGACCCCAGTTCTATCCCTGGGCATCAAAGTTGTTGCCCATTCCGAGAAAGTTATTTCTTATTGACAAGCATCAATGTGTAAGAAAAACCTACTGTCCAAAGTTTAGATTGAGTCTGGTTAATACATCTTGTCGTGTTAAGTTCTGAGGTACTTACTCCAGGAAAGGAGAAAGTCTGTAGGCAGGCTGGAGTCTGTAAAGAACGTTCTGAAAGAGTTGATCATGGGATGAGAACTAATAGAAAGTCAGGAATTGGAAGAATGCATGAATAAAAGACAGGAGTGTGTGGGGTCATTGGCATTCAAGCCAGTGATGAGGATATAAACAGTACATAAGCAATGATGGGCAACTTAGAAAAAGTAGTTGGTTTGGGACTTGAGTTTTAGAGGTAAAGAAATCTGAGTGGCAGAGAGAAAGTGGTTTTGTATCCAATTTGAGAAGCTAGGACAACACTTTCCAGTTACAATTATGAGACTGGGAAGACTGTGAGGAAGCCAAGGAGTCCTAGGTATGACAAGCCATCATAGCTAGTAAGCTGATGGTGCCTGAAGTTGAAGTCACCTGGGTTTTTTCGTTCTTTTCTATTCTGTTCCTACTCGAGGTGAGAACTGGTTGTCTGGAATGTGTTATTGAGGAGGGTGGCGGAACAGAAGCCAAAACAATCCTGGCTACTACTGTCAGAGGTTAAGAGGAAGTCTGGACAGAAGGAAGAGCAGAGGGAGTGTATTTGGGTTCTCTAGAGTAACAACTTACAAAATGTTTCTCTCTCTCTCTCTCTCTCTCTCTCTATATATATATATATATATATATATATATATATATATATATATATGACTTATTAGCGAGAATTATAGGCTGTGGTATAGCTAATCCAACAATGGCTGGCTGTGCACAGAACTTCCAATAATGAAGTCCACAAGGCTAGATGTCTCAGCTGGTCTTTAATATAGACTGGAATCCTGAAGAAGTAGGCTCTAATGCCAATGAAGGAATGGACTTGCCAGCTAGGTGAGAGCAAGCAGGCAAAGAGAGATCAAGGTTCTTTCTTCCGTGTCCTTATATAGGCTTCCAGAAGAAGGTATCACATATTAGTGGTGGAATTTCCCAGATGAAAAGATCTAGATTAACGATGTGTCTTCCTTTAATTTGGATTAGAAGTCATGATCTTCCTACTTCAAGTTAAGCAAAAATTCCTCACAGGTGTGCCCTCAGTGTTTGGGTTTTAGTTAATTCCAGATATAGTCAAGTTCGTAGCCAAGAATAGCTATCATATCGGGGGAATATATCTTCACAAAATACCTTGTTGTGCTGTCTTGTGTTTGGTTGTCAGGGTTCTGTTGCTCTCCTTGTGAAGCTTCTGTCCCTCCATGTCTTTCTATCTCCTTCTTTCATGATATTCCTTGCACTCTGCCCAAAGTTTGGCTGTGAGTCTCAGCATCTGCTTTGATATCCTGCTGGGTAATCTTTCAGAGGTAGGCTTATTGGCACAGGAGACAACTTTCTGAACAGAACACTGGCAACACAGGCTCTAAGATCAATAATCAATAAATGGGACTTCATGAAACTGAAAAGCTTCTGTAAAGCAAAGGACACTGTCATCAGCCTACAGACTGGGAACAGATCTTCACTAACTCTGTGTCTGACAGAGGGCTAATATCCAGAATATAAAGAACTCAAGAAGTTATATACCAACAAACCAAGATAGCCAATTAAAAATGGGATAAACAGAGATAAACAGAGAATTCTCAATTGAGGACTATCGAATGGCAGAGAAATACTTAAAGAAATTCTCAACATCCTTAGTCTTCACGGAAATGCAAATCAAAATGACCCTGAGATTTCACCTTATACCTTATACCCATTGATAAAAAACTCAAGTGACAACACATGCTGGAGAGGATGTGGAGAAAGGGGAACCCTCCTCCATTGCTGGTGGGAATGTAAACTTCTACAACCACTTTGGAAATCAATCTGGTGTTTTCTCAGACAATTAGGAATAGTGCTACCTCAAGATCCAGCTATACCACTCCTAGGCATAGATCAAAAATATACTCAACTACACAACAAGGATATTTGCTCAACCACATTTGTAGCAGCTTTATTCCTAATGGCCAGAATCTGGAAATAACCCACATATCTCTCAACTGATGAATGAATACAGAAATTGTGGTACATTTACACAATGGAATACTACTGAGCAATTAAAATCAGAATATGTTCTAATAAAGAGATTGTCAGGGTGCACATATGGTTAAGGAGATGATTTACATAAGTCTTTAAAAGTAAAGATTCAGGTCCCACACCCCTGCACAGGTCCCTTCTCCACTGCTTTTAGCCACTCTATCCATCCATCCAGACTTTTCATTTCCTTCTTCAGGTTCTAGGCCTGTGAGTCTCCCTGATCTCCCACCACTCATACCTTTTCTGCAGCCCTTTCAGTCCTAGCCTGGGTTTCGCACTCAGCCTAATTGGGCTTCCACCTCAGACAATGTCTAGGGTTCTACCAATGCCCACCCAACTTGCAGCTATCATAAATCCTATCATCCTTATTTCTAACCACCTCATCTAGCTAGACTTCCCACATTTTCCTCCAGGTTCCAGCCCTGTTAGCCTTTCCCTATCCTTGGCTTCTTCATGTTCTACTAGATCTAGACTGGGTCCCACATACAGTACCCAGGCCCAGTCTAGTCACCTACTCCTGCAGGGCAAACAATTCCTAGGGTCAGGATCCTCCTGACCCTGCCCCACCCAATCGAACATCTCACACCACATCCAACCTGTCCATCTATCCAAATCAACCCCCATGCTCCAGGCTTAGACCAGGAAACATATCCTGAATACCAGCCCAGCCTTCCCTCCAGGTGACTTCATTCTACCCACACCATTTTTAACCTCTAGGCCTAACACACCCACAGATTTTCTCTTCAGCCCCAACCTGCTTTGTTGCTGTTAGACTCAGATGCAAAAATACCAACAATATGAAAAATCAAGCCAGTATCTTCTCTCTAAAATCTGCCAGTCCTATAGAAATGTCTGCTGATGAGAATTATCTAATGAACCCCAGGATCCAAAATTTCAAAGGACATTCTTGTTGAATGTAATAGTTCCTTTTACCTTTTGTATATGAATCCCTTATAGATATATGGCTTAAAACTGCCTTCCCTTTCTATAGGTTAGTAATTTCTCGATAGTGTATTTTTTAAAAAATGTATTTATTATTATTATTTATACAGTACTCTGCCTGAATGTATGCTTGCATAGTAGAAAAGGGCACCAGATCTCATTATTGATGGTTGAGAGCCACCATGTGGTTGCTGGGAATTGAACTCAGGACCTTTGGATGTACAGCCAGTGCTCTTAAACTCTGTCCACCCTGATAATGTAATTTGATGGAAACAAAATTAAATGTGGGTGAAGTCCAGTGTGTATTCTTTTGTTTCTCATGTCCCTGATGTTACATCTAAAAGTCCATGCTAGAATTAAGATCATGAAGATTGGCAGATTTTTCTGCATCAGCTTTATCGTTTCAGCTTTTAAATTTGGGTCTTTACTGTGTTTTGAGTTAATTTTTGTGTGCAGTGTGATGTTGAGAGTCACTTTGTGTTTGTGTGCTGTCGTTCAGTTTTCCAAACACTTGTCATTAAGGACATGGCTTGCCAGTCTTGAACTTCTGAAGAAAATAAACTGTAGTTAGAGATGTAGCTTAGGGATAGAATGTCCAAATGACAGAGTACATTGGATGTAGGTGTGTAGGTGATTTCTGGACTATTAGCTCTATTGTTTTGGTCTGTATGTCTGTCTTGATACTAGCACTGCAGTTTGGATATACGGCTTTGTGCTGGGTTTTGAACCCAGAGTTGTGAATTAATTCAACTCTGTTCCTCCTTTTAAATATTGTCTTGGCTATTTGCAGCCTGTTGTAATTTCCTATACATTTAAGGATCAACTTTAGAGCTTCAGTGGATATGGTCAATGTGCCCGGGTAGAAATGATGTCTGGGCATTGCCTGCCAGTCCCTAGCATAGGCATCTTTCCTTACTCAGTTTCTTCAGTTCCTTCCTTGTGTTTTACACTCATCAGCATAAATGTTTTTGCTCTACATGCCTCCTGCTACTTTATAGTAGAAATGTCTTCTTCTTTCTCTGGCCATTCCCTACTGGTGTTAGAAAGATAACTGGTTTTTATTCATGTATCTTCCAGCATTGCTAGGTTAATTTATTGTATAGTAGGTTTTTATGGATTCTGCTAAGAACAGGACTTATGAGGATAGATGCAGTATTACATCCTTTCCATCTGGATGCCTTGTATTTCTTGTGTAATTGCCTTC